AAAGACAGAGTAGGGGGAGCACCAGAAGGGTGACAGTCAGGGCAACAGTCAGGGTGACCCTAGAACTCTGTTACAGACCAGCTGGCGGCTGCTGGAGGAGGAAGTAAAAATAGGGGGAAAGGGTCAGAGAGGAAGGGACTTGTGCTGAGGGGAGGGGGGCAGGTCAAGAGAAGAAAGGAGAATGCACCAAGGGACAGAGTGGAGGAGAGAGAGAAATGCCAGGGGGCCAAGTGGAGACAATGAGGAAAAGGGCAGGATGGGAAGTGTCAGTGAGAGGGGGGACAGGATGATGCTAGGAGAGGAGAGGGGAAGAGCTTTGGGGGGGCTAGAGAGGAGAAGGGGAGGTTCTGGGAGAAGGTTTGAAAGAAGGGGTGGGCATGAGGAAGGCTGGGATGGAGCAAGTCATGTGTGAGGGCACAGAGCCATGAGGGGAATGGGGGCAGAGGGTGGTGAGTGAGTGGGCATCAGGGAAAAAGGAGTGGTGAGGGGGTGGGCATCAGGGAAAAAGAGGGCAGTGAGGGAAGGGGGAGGCACCAGGAGGGTGCAGGGGTAAGGGAAGGTGCAGGTGCCAGGGGATTCTAGGGGTGAAGCAGAAGGGCAGACACCTGCAGGAGAGGGACCAGCACCAGTGGAGAGAGGCAGGGCAGGTGTGTAGTGGGAGGTGTTAGGAGAGGGGATGAAGAGGGGTAGCTCACATGATCAGAGAGGGGCTACTGGAGGAGTGGGCACAGGGGAGAGAAGGGCTGGTGGAGAGGGGGCAGGTTGCAGGAGGACTGAGGGCAGTGAGAAGGGCAGGAGTCCGGACAGCAGAGGTGGGTGAGGTGTTGGGGAGCGCAGGCACCGGGGGAGCTGATGGAGCAAGGGGAGGAGATATGGCAGCAGAGGGAAAGGGTAGAGGTTTATAAGATACTTATTAATATATTGGGTGCCACAGTGGCACATCCAAACAAGCGACAAACTCAGTACTGGTGCACAATACAAAATTTATTGTGCTCATGGGAGGAAACTCTGAGAGGGGACACTTCCCCCAGCCTCTCCACCCCCCGAGTTAATGTCACACACATTGGGTTAAAGGAATTGCAGGATAGTTGCATGGGGGAGGGAGATTGGTGAGGGCCAAACTAATCCCTATTGGTAAGAGGATGGTGGGAAAAGACCTTGGGGAAGGGGTCACATGACACCTTTTATTTCTGGTCATGTGTCCATATTGCCCCAAAAGTATTACCCCCAGAGGCGTGGCTAATGGGGGTCAAAGAGTACATTTTTAAAAAATTCTTTGGGTGCACACCCTAATAAAATGTGCTGTGCATGCCTATGGGTTAGAAGTTAGTGTTAGTGTTTAGGGTTAGGGTTAGGGTTTAGGGTTGGGGTCAGGGACGGAGTTAGGGTTTAGGGATTAGTGTAAGAATTTTGGGTTAAGGTTACATTTAGGGTTGGGATTTAGGATTATGGTTATGGTTAGGGTTTAGGGTTAGATTTAGGATTTGGGTTAGGCTTAGGGGTAAGATTAGGGTTTAGAGTTAGGGTTAGAGTCAGTGTTTCGGTTAGGGTTTAGGATTAGGGTTCAGGGTTAGGGTTTAGTAGATAAGGTTATGGTTGTGGTTTGAGTTTTGGGGGTTAGGGTTAGGGTTTGATTGTTGGGGCTAGAATTAGGGTTAGAGTTAGACTTAGAGTTAGTATTTAGGGTTAGGGTTACGGGTTAAGGTTTAGGTTTATGGTTAAAGTTAGGGTTTAGGGTTTGGGTTATATTTTGGATTGAGTTAGAATTAGGGTTTGGATTTAGGGTTTAGAATCAGGGTATGGAGTTAGGGTAGTGAAAGTGTAAGTGTTAAGATTGATGTTTAGGGTTAGGGTTAGGGTTTGTGTTAGTGTTAGGGTTTAGGATCAGGGTTAGGGTAACCATAGTCACTAACCCTAAGCGCTAACCCTTACTCTAACCCTAACCATAATGCTAACCCAGAAACTGTAACCCTAACCCAACAATAACCTAACCCTAACCCTAAATTTAACCCTAAACTCTAACACTAACCATAAACCTCTTAAAATCAGGAATAAGGGATCGTCCGGAAAAGGCTTTATTTTCTGAAAGATCCCATCTAGACTGGCGCTTTTCTCTGGCAAAGCCCTGTGCGGAAAAAAAGCGGCAGCCATGTTCATGCAAATGCCGCAGGGGATATTTAAATCCCCCGCGGCATTTGCAAATCTGACTGGTCTCATTAGCATCCCTTTTCCGGAAAAGGGTGCCAATATAGACACAGCCTATTGCTAATCCTTTAACCCTAACCCTAACTCTAAAATAATTTTCAACCCTAACTGTAACCCTAACTCTAATCCAACCCTGACCCTAAACCATACCCTAACCCTAACCGTAACTCGAACCGTAACACTAACCTTACTGCTAAACTCTAACCCTAAACCCTAACCATAATCCCTAAGGGTATATCTACGCTTGCCCCCTACTTCGAAGTAGGGAGGCAAATGAAGCATACCGAAGTTGCAAATCAAGCCCGGGATTTAAGCATGTTCCCAGCTGGTCACCATTTTAGAAATTCACTAGCCCAGAGTAACTGCCCGTGTCTACACACGGCAGTGAAATGGGAGTCCGATTTAAAGCCCTAACTCGAATTAGCTGGTATTGTTCCTGCAATGAGGTTTTGAAAGAAACTTGCAGTCTAGACGTACCCTCAGACAGCGGAGCTGCTTCTTACTCTGAATGGGTAGAGGCCTGTTTTCACTGAGAGGAGGGTCCAGAGCTGCAAACCGTGTTACCTCTGTAGTGTGTAGTATAGGGAGCTCAGCTGATAATGCATGCTCTAACGAAAGGCTTAATTCCCCCAAACTCCTTTTTCATAATCTTTTTTTCCACGGACCTTTTCCATGGCTCATCTCAGTCCCATCGTCTAATTTCCAGGCCAGTCGAGCAAAATCGGTTCGATTGGGTTTGAGTTATAGATTTTTTTTTTAAATACATTCTTTCCTGTGTGTTCTGATCAGTATTTTTCACACAGAAAATGAAATATTGGCCGGAGAGAAAACCATCCAACTTGGCTTGCTTAATAGATATCACAGGTCAGACTTTTAAATAACTTAGTACCCAATTGCTTAATGTTGTCAGGTCATTTGCATGCCCGGTTACCTGATTTTCACATGCAGTTGTGATAACTAGACACACATTGTCTATATGCCTATTTTGCTTGAATCTCACCCTAATATATTCAGTACAGGAGACCCTTGTAATTTGTGGAATCGCTATGCATGGTTTTGCATATTCACAGGTCTCCTGTCCCTGTAGGAGGGGGTTCAGGAGGCTAGGAGCTGCAGGGAACTCACGGTAGCTCCTGGCCCCCACAGTGAGTTCCCTGTGGCTCCCAGGAGCTGTGGTGAGTTCCCCGTGGCTGCCCAGAGCTGTGAAGAGTTCCCTATAGCTCCCAACAGCCACGGTGAGTTCCCCATGGCTCCCAGCCCCCACAGTGAGTTCAGGAGCTGCAGGGAGCTCACCATGGAAGGGCCAGGAGCTGCAGCTCCCAGTACTCACAAATTTGCCATTCATGGTGGACGTGGGAATGAGCGACTGCCCATTGCACTGAAACATCACACTTTGTGATGCTGTGTGCAGTGTATATGGATTGAATCACACCCTGAAACCAGTGTCAGGACGGGCACCTCTTTCCGTGAATGTCCCAAGACGGGGGGGGAAGAGGGGGTAGCATTGGGATCAGTTCCAGGAGCTGGTTATGATTCTGGAGTGAAATGGCACATCAGGTCTGGTACTCTAAGATGGAGTTTGAATGCTGGCATGCTAGTGGTGAGAAGCTCTGTATTTTGCTGTAGGATTGGAGGGAAATTCAGCCTTTTTTCCAGGGTCTGCCTCTCCCTCTGCTCCTTGCATTAGGGAACTGGAGAAGGTGCCCAACCCCCTCCGTTGTTTCTTCATGTTCTCCTTCCCCGCACCAGCAGGCACTTGTTTACAGCCTGCGGCCTCACTCAGAGGAGTATCGTCCATTAAGCCCAAACTGCCAAGGAAAGTGAAACACCAGCCGTAACCCATTTCTAGTGCCTCAGATTCCACTAGGAGAAATAGCGCAGTGCCTCATGGGAGCAGCAGCCTGAGGCAATAGCCACACAGCACAGGGCAGCAAGAGGAAATGCAGGGGGTATCCCTAGCTGGACTCTAACCCTGGATGGTCTGCCGTTGGATAGCTTCTGGTGCTCCCCAGCTCCTCATTTATTACTATCATCTCTCACCAAGGACTTTACCTGCAAGTGAGATCTTTGAGCCCTTAGGAAGGACATCATGGTGGTTAGAATGGGAGTCACATGATTTGGGGTCTATTCCTGGTTCCAGGCTAAGGCATTTCTAGTGCCTGTGTCTCAGTGTCCCTGTGTATGAAAGGGGCTCATTAAGCTGGCCTTGCATTGCATATGCCCTGCACTCTGTTGGAAGGCCAGTTTACTATTTGGAGTCCTCATGCTGCTCTACTGGCTTATTCCTCATTTGGATTTAGATGAGCCTTCAGCACAGTTAATTGCTGCGGGGATGACTGTGATGCTGCTGGCGGAATTATAGCTTTAAGGAATTTAGGTGGAGGTAGGGGACTGCATCCAAAGCAGATGAAATGCCCTCCCTTACCTGCCAGGGACAGTGACCATAGAGTCCTGCAAACGTCTCTAGTGACTGAGATCCTGGGGGGCAGAAATGCAGGAATCAGAGAAGTGGGTGTCTCTGACCTGACTGTTTTTCAGGAGTTGCCAAGCGGTTGCTAATTAAATCATTCTCTGGGCGCGGCACAAGCCATACTTTGGCTTGCATTTGCCTGTGCACGCTCTGGGGTGCTCTGTGCAAACATGGCTTGGGGAATTAGAGGCTCAAAGACCCCGACACATAAGACTGTATCTGTGGGCCTGGGCAGATATGATTGAAGGGAAGATAACCAAAAGCAGAGAATCCCCATTCCACCCTGCACCCTTCAAGACAGCTTTGGAGTGTTGGTTGCCCTTACCTTGGAGATCCAGGATTGCAAGCCCAGAGTCAGGCCTCTTGGTCTGACCCATAACCCTGGGCCCTCGTGAAGAACACTTTGCCTTCGTGGCTGTTGATGCGGACAGCGCTTAAGTGGCAGAGTGGTGCATCCAGCCCATTGCTGCTGGTCTTGCACCCAAGACCCCACTCCTCCCTGATGGGTGACAGACCAAGAATTGTCATGGGGGGCCTTGCTGGGCAGAAGTTGCTATTTCTCCAGAGAACCGCTTGGCTTCAGGCAGACTGGTAGGGCCCCTTGGTATGCGCACTCACCCGGGACAGGTTGGGCTCTGCTGTTCATATGCTCAGACGCTCACATGCCTACATGCCTCTTTCAAGCTTGGCCAGGTGGAGCTTTTCAAAGTAATGGGAATCACAAGACAGCCTAAGCCTGGCCAGGGAGAATCTCCATTCCCTTCATGGCCCGACAATCCGGGCTGCAGCCAGCCGCCAGGAATGGACAGTGGCTGCCCTTGAAGGCGAGTTAGTATTTTCCCTTAGTTCTCCCCAACGGAGCAGCGGGGGTCCTGCTGCTGAGGTAGGAGTTATTCCTTCCACACACAGTTCTCAGGGCTCCTCTGCTTTCCCATATGGGGCAGGAGGCCGGAGAGGAAGTCAGTTATTACAAACAACTTTCTCTGAGTGAGTTCACTTACATTCCCAGGCATAACTGGCAACAGCCACAGGCCTCTCTCCCTCTCCTCCCCCTCTTCCTCCACCTCCCTCCTTCTCTCTCTCTCTCTCGCTCTCCCTCTCAGACTTAATGACTTCCACATGGGCTTCTGGCATCCTGAGCCAAGCCTCCCAGCATTGTCTGAAATCTCCAAATTTAGAAGAAATATGAAAATTGTCAAACGCTCCTTCCTTAGGGGGTAAAACCAGCACTCAGCTGAACTGTCGCAGGTCAAGGCAGCAGACCCATGTGATCGGGCACCAGCCAATGGCTCCTCTTGACGCCCCTGACAGATGTGGCCGTCTGCAGCCTGGCCTCCTTTTTCAGCTCATATAAGGTAAAAGAAAAAGGTTTTCCAGATCCTGAGCAGCATGGAAGGAGATTCCGCTGAAGACCCCCATGCCAGCTGCTTAAAAATCTGAGGCTGGGAGCACTGGGTCTCAGTAGCAGGTTATATTTTGAAGAGCGGAGATGCAGCCCCCCTTCTTCCTTGGCCGGGGCCTAGTGCACAGCGGGTGTGAGTGAACCCTTCGGATCCCTGTGCAACACAGGTACGTACATGCTGAGACCGAGAAGCAGGGCTGAGAGTCTGTGTGCATGCGGGAGATTCACTTTGGCACAGCTGCATTCCTTTGTATGTCTATCATGTCTGAAGAGCTCTGGGGAGAGAGTGCACTAGCGACAGGAGAGCCATAGCTAGAATGGCCCCATGCTCAAATTCTCGGCTAATGGGAACACCGATCCGTACCAGGCAGAGGCTTCCCTTTGTAAATGTACCTTACCGCCTGGCTATGCTACTCTTTGCTGTATTCTGTGCTGAAATGTCAGTCTCCACTTGTGCAATAACTTAGTTTCTCCAGGCTGAATAGGAAGGAGTGTGCAAGGCAGATGGGCAGGAGAAAGGGGAATGGAAGGGGGAGAAAACAAGAATGGGTCTCCCAGGGTCCCCCTTCTAGTAAATATTGGGCGGGGTGGCTTATCTCTCCTCTCAGATCACACCCAAAGTCTCACAGTGTGTGAGCTGGGAGCGAGGGGATTGCTTGTAGCACCCAGCTTTGCAGGAGGGGTTGTCTAGTGGAACACAGAAGCAGAGGTTGCGAGCCAGAGGAGAGCGGGACAGCCCCTCTCCCCAGTGCCTGGGTCCTGCATTGCTTCCCCTCTGCTCTGCGAATGGGGCTGTAGCTCTGGGGTCAGCGGTGCTGTGAGCAGGAGGTGGTCTGTGATAACAGAGCTCAGGGGGATGTGAGGGCCAATGATTACAACAGAGAGATTCTGGCGAGTAGGGGAAATCACTTGAATTGTGTGTCTGAGCATCTGCAGCCCAGGAGTCTGGGGGGAAGGTTTCCAGGCAGCCCCCAGTGCTGTTGCAACTGGCAGTGCATGAACTTGCTGCCTCGAGCTTCAGTTCCAAAGCTGAGTGGCCAGCCCAGCCAGCTCCCTCCGGGTGTGAGGAGTGGTGTTCTCCCCCAGGGCTGCTGGCCCCGTCCCAGGAGGCAGCTGTCAGCGGGCAGGGCTGATATTTCACCCCAAAGCACTGTGAGATGTACCGGGCTGCTTTTTGCTCCACGTATATTTCAGGGAGGAAAACTAAGTAAATTGACACCCTCACAGGCTGGCTCCCTGCCTTCCCCAAGGGGAAGAAGCCGATAGACCGTGTGAGCTGTATTGGGTTACAGCTGATCTGGCCAGAGACACTGCTGCCATTTTCCACTGAGACATGAAGCCAGCAAAGCAAGTGCTCTGGAGAAAGGGGGGAACTGTTCTGAAGATGTGTAGGGGGCCCTGCACCTCTCCTTGCTCACGTGTGCCCAGATGCTGTGTGCCTCAGTGACTGACAGGATCCTGGCTCACAGGCTGATGGAACCCCAAAGCCTGCCTGACCTGCTGTTGCTGGCTCACCTGGATTTTCCTCCAGCACCAGCTTCCTCCCAAGGTCAGGATTTCCACCGCTCCCCACCGAGAGGCCTTGCTGAAAGGTTGCTGCTCTCTCTACAGCGTGTCCAGACCATGTGGCAGAAAATGGGCCTTGTGGCTTAGCACCCCAGGATTAGGCAGAAGTGAACCCCTATAAAGAGAATGTAATGGGCAGGCAGCTGCCTGAAAGCAATGCACTGTATGTGGGTGTGGGTTGGAGTCCAGCTGCCTTTGTCTGACCCCTGCCCCAACTAATCCAAGCAATACAGCTCCTGTGTAAATCCAGAGTGATTGCACTGGCTTCAGCGGAGCTGTGTGTCGGGGCGTCAGATCTGCCTCTCGCCACCCCCCTTTTTGCAGCTGGGCCTGTCCCTTTGCCTTCAGGAGTTGGTGGGTGAGCTCGGTAAGGCACTGTGAGGAGAATGGGGGCAATTTCAGCAGGCTGCCAGGGGTTTGCTAGGCAAGTGTCCTTTCCTTGTACCCAAAAGGTGACTTTGCTCTGGTGTCTAGTCAAAGACCCAGCAAGCACTTCTGCATTGGCTGTGCGCAGAGGTTGCTGCAGAGTGGCCACTGCCCAACGGCAGCCCAGAGGTGCAGAAGGTGGCCCTGTCAGGACTGACATTTCCATACGGTCACGGCTGGCACAGCCATGTTACATCTCCGACTGATCATCAACCTTTCCCTGCCATCCAGCGCACAAGGAACAGATCCTCTCCCAAGCCCAGACCTTCCCCAGTCACTGGAGTAACACCAGGCTTGTTCGGATCTCTGGTCATAGCAGGGCTCCTCACTAAGAGGTCTGTGGCATCCAAGAGGTTCCTCCCTCCCAGAGATACCCAGTTGCTTTCCCCTACTGACAGCTGCGCAACTTAGGGGCAGAGTGAGGGACCCAGTTCAGCCCCTGGGCTGATCACTCACAGGTTGGGAAAAATGAATGCCATGTTCAGGCTGCAGGGGCAGATCCCAGCTGGCTGTGGCAACAGAGCCTCCAGTATCGCTCTCCTCCGACGTGCCAATGTGAAAACACTGGGACATGGGGATTTCACTATCGCAAGCCAGAAATTGGCCCATGTGATCAAATCAATAACAGGAGAGAAAGGTCAGCAAGGTATCGCCTCCTCCACACTGTACACTCAAGCACTTCCTACTGCAGCTGGCCGCTCCTTGGGAAATGCCATTTCAGGAGGCGGGGGAGGAATGTTCCAAACTGGAACTGGAATCCAAAGCTAGCATTTCGAAACTTCTCAGAAAATGAAAATTCTGAAGAATTTCAATATGGGACTATTGACTCATTTGGCTTTGATCATATGGAATCATTTTGATTCAATGCAATTGTGTCATTTCAGTTAGGGAAAATGCTTCCTTTTAACTTTTTCATTTCCATACATTTTATTAATCAAACAGATAGACACTCTCTTAAATGTATAGTAAACTAAACAGAAAACTGAAAATACATACATGTATTTGTTATGTAACCACTGTAGTTTAAAAAAAAGGTACATATGTTTTATTTTAAAAACTTAAATTAAGTTTAAAAAAAACTTAATTGAGTAATGAACCCAAGCAACACTGAAAAATCTGCTAGGATTTAATATAAAAGCCAAACCAAAATGAATTAAAATGATAAAGTCAGAAGGAAATGTTTTTACCATATCAAAATTAAATAAGAAAGCTGAAATTATTAATTTAAACTATTGCCCATCAAACATTTCATCAAAATTGACACATTTTAATTTTGATAAAACTGCTTTTTTCCTATGAAAAACTGTTCTGTCAAAAAAGATTGCGACCACCTATACTTCTCACTAACAGCTGTACTTCACTCACCATGCCCCCAACAGAGTCATTATCCCCAGTATACGACGAGTAGAGCCCTGCACAGATAAAAAATTTGTATCCACATCTGTGTCTGTATCTGTATTTGTATCTGTATCTGTAAAAATGACTTGTGGAGCTCTGCATTGACATCAGCGGATGCAGATCCCCCGTGCATATAAAGTGGATCGCCGCTGATTTGCAGGACTCTATTGATGGGGAAACTGAGACACAGAGTGGGGCTATATGACAAGTACAGTGTGTTAATGCTGGAGGTGGTCTTGGACTATGGTCCCTGTCCATAGACTGATCGAGGAGACGATGGGGAAACCATCACCTTGCACCTTATTCTGACCCCTTCTAGAGGCAGGGCCCTGTGGGGGGAAGCTGGCAAGAAGTGTCATGTATGAGACATGGGAACAGAAAGAAAGGTGTCAATATCACAGCAACTTGTCCCCCACTAATTCACTGCATTAGTAGCATTCAGGGACCTGCTTTGCTCTGGCAGTGATCAGCTGCAGCTGCACAGTAGCTGTACTGTCCATTTACCCAGTCGCAAGCCTTAGAGAACTTCCTATGTAGAGAGGAGGCTTTAATCCACTGCTAGGTGAAGAGTTCGTTTCCAGCACGCAT